CCTCTTTAGACATGATCCAACTTTGGCGAGCCGTTCAATTCTGATATGGACTCGTACTTTTCTGGAGCTCTTTATTTAAATATTTTTTTTTATTTGGATGAGCTGATCACACGTGCGCGCTATTGGGCACAGTTGTTTACAGTAGGTTGCCTGCGTGCAACGTGCACGTCACGGTACGGATGGTGCAACCTCTACAATTCCCACAATGCCGAAAACTCGTCCACCTCGGGTGTGCGTACGGCTAGGACGGTCTTAGGGCCCTTAGCGTCCCTAAGGCTATCTTGGGTGTTACTGTTCATCCTAGAAACTCGAAGTAGGAAGTCTTCCCGTGCCAAATTGCAAACCACATGGCGTAAGATGCTAATGCATGGTATATAAAAATGATAACAAAGGTTACCATCATTTTCATTAGATACGCTTGAAATAGTCCAGCTTTAGTAAGCCACAGCAAAGAAATGCATTGACTTCTACACTGGCTGGCCACCACAAGTCATTGTTTAGTGCATATGCGCATTCAAACGCGACTACGACTGAGAATAGAAGTCGAGTGCAGGGCGCATAATGAGATGGAATTTATCAAGTCTAGAATCTATTTATCGTTTCAATTCCTGTACGACACAGGGGAAAAGAAGCCAGATCAGTATAAATTTTAAGGATCAGTATAAATTTTCAATGATGGCTTTTATTTAGTTGTCTACAGGTATAAAAGTCCTAAATAAAGAAGGAAGCGGATAACAAAAAGAAAAAAAAGACGAGAGCTGCACTCAAGCACAGTGAACGATTCAAACGTTTCTACAATCACCACTTTCAGCTGCTCAAAATCTTTATTTTCCAAAAAATATGGATTCAGAAACAAAAACACGCAAAATTTTACCTTGACAACGAGAGGGAACTCCCAAGAAAGAAGTAGAAGTCGACCGACAGGGGCACTCTTATTTCTGCTCTCAAAAATTCGGCATTAGGCGTGCTGAGCTTCCCAGTTGACTTCTTCAGAAATGACAGTTGGAAAAGCTTCATCCAAATGGAACAGGCATGGCCCTCTGTAACTGCGATGAAGAGTAAAACGAGAAAGACATTCTGAAAAACATCTTTAATAAGCGAGAGTTCTTAATCGCAAAAAAGGGAAACGACTTGGGTAAGGGGAGTTTCACCGTAAACGCCTCCACTGTTCTTCAAGCAAGGGAGTCCAATCGAACAAGCATAAGAAAGGTAAATACTGAGTTCCTAGATATTATTTATTGCCAGCTTTCAACTCCGGACGAGCATTTTATTTATCTATTTAATTATTCAAGTATTTACCATTTGCACCCTGAAGATTTGCACATTATTTGCTACAGTATTATCCATCACAGACAGCAAGCAATTGTTCGGAGGGAACGAAGGAATTATTATATTTAAGTTTACCATTCGAAGACTTCAGATCACAAAAAGTCAGCTAGGGCGAAGTAGGAGTATTGTCAAGCGGGAAAGTCACACACGTGCATGG